CCATGGCAACCGTATCTGTATATAAAAAACAGTAAGCTGATTGACTGCTAACAACGCACAGCTCAAACCATTGGACGGATCTGGCTGAAATTTGGCATACAGATAGCTATTATAATATAGACGTGCGCTAAGAAAGGATTTGCCAAAATTCGCATTTTAAATAGGTGCTGAAACAGGGACATTGAGATTCACGATAGAAATTGGAAATTTTATTTTTATTTATTTATAGTTGCCATTGGTTACAGTCTACATTAGAAATTAGCATTTATTTATTGGTTGCCATTGGTTATTCGGGCAGATCAGGTACAAGCTTGCATCAAATCGAATTATTGAACAATGCTTACCAGGGTGGCAGAGTTGCACTTACCGCAGAAAATTACACCCAAAAGGAGTTCAACAATCATAATTTTTTAAGAGTTGCGATTTTTTACGAGCAACCAAATTTGTTATATTAATCCACAGTATTACATCAAAATAAACTTGGTATAACTTTGATACTTTAGAGTTAAATCATACACTTCCGTACAAACAGCACGGGGTCCGCGATCTACCGCAGGTAGATTGCCTACCTGATAATGTACTGCTGCGATTCAGAATTTTTATTCAGGGCAACGGGAAAGATAAGATAAATTTTGAACACCATACACGTTAATGAACTATCAAAAATTATCTAAAAATATCAATAAAATTTTATTTGTTGGTTGCGAAAGCTTGAAAATTTAATAGAAAGCTCCTAATATGTTGTTTCAAAGGCAAATGAAAAATATTAAAAATCCTTAATCACAATTTTTTTTTATAAGCATTTAAAGTTCAAAAATTGACAAAATATGGAAAAATCACGAAAATTAGCAAATTATTTTGAGTTAAGAATTCGTAAAAATTTTTCTTTTTAAATCTAAGATTTGAAAATGAAACACAAGATTCCTTATAAGATTATCTACCTTTATCAATAAAAAAATCTCTACCGGACAGTCAAGTTAAATTTTTATGAGCGTTTGAAATTCAAATTTTTACAACATTGGATATTCACTCGATTACTCATGTAGCGATTTCTTTATTTTGTTGCAATTCAAAAACGAACAACTGTAGATACATGAAAATTTCACTGAATGTTTAAATTAGCATTTTCTATACACCATACAATTTTGAAAATATTTGACTCTTTTTGAGCTGTTTATGGACATTTACAGCTTTCAATTTTTTTAGTTTTTTTTTCTATAAATATCAATAAAGTTTTATCTGTTGGGCCAAAAAGTGTAAAAATTTAATACAAGGCTCCTGATATATTGTTACAATATCAGTTGAAAAATATTAAAAAAACATAGGCACGATTTTTTTTATAAGCATTTAAAGTTGGAATTTTGACAAAATTTATCATAATCTCGAAAATTATCAATCGTTGGAATTAAAAAATTATAAAATGTTCAGTTTTTATAACTAAGAGTTGAAAATTTAAAACAAAGATTCCATTAAATAATTCATACTGTAACCAAAAAATCTAAAATATATATAAACACACTTATTTTTTACAGACATTTTAATTTCAAATTTAGACAAAAATTCATATTTAAACCAAGAATTACGATTTTAGTTATTTTGTTGTGATTGAATAATATTATTCGTGGGTACTTAAAACTTCTAAAGTGTACTATTATATATCTATGATAGTATCACGGTTACCAGTACCTAATGGATATTGTGATATGATTAATTTGGTATTTATTATAGGTACCTATTATAGGTCAATTTTTTGTTTAATACCATAGATATGTATATAATATGTCTTATACATAGACTGACATACCGTCACCGCTCAGAATCGTTTTTCTTATACAATGATATTATATCTTTGAATTCAAATTTAATACCATCCATTATACAGTGACCCACTTGTAACCTACTGTACAGCACAGCGACACCCACTTGCCCACCTTTTTTATAATATAAATATAAATTGAGTTATATTTTATACTGTATTATAATGTATGAAATTTTTACTCAGAATATAGATACAAAAATGTATGTCAAGTTATAATAATTTATTGATTGGCTCTTTGTGGAAAATGTTTTCTTAGAGATTTTTCTCAGTTTGAAGTATAATATTTTCATTTCGACAAATAGCAGTAAATGATTGTTGTTCTTCTACGGGATTTTTGTTTTGTTTTTTTTTTTTTTTTTTGATTCTGTGGTAGTTAATTCTTCTTATAATCTGTATATATATTTTTTTTTATTTATATATATTCTCATATATTATTTTTCCAAACTTCGTTTTGACTGCAGTATCTTCCTCGTGTCTTCGTATGAAAAGGTGTTTGCTTATTGTTTTTATAATTATTGGTTTAATGCTTATTGTCTACTTTGAAAATATTATATTCGCACTTTGTCTCAGAAGATTGTTGCTGCTTGTTGTCTGTTGACTCATGAATTTTTGATTATGCTGAAAATACATTCTATTATTTGTTTTATTTATACATTTTTTTTTTACATGTTTTTAATATTTTATTTTATTTCTTTTATTGCTGATATGATGCCTTTGCAAAATTCGTCGTTTAATTGGTTTTCTTTAATTTTTTCTATATTTATTGTGTCAAAAGTTATGGCGTACACGTACGACCACAGTACCTACGTCCTCGCCGATTCACTCAGCGACAATGGGACCCCCCCGTGCCTGCGCGTGCGGCGTTGTTATATAGTAATCTTATAACTGTCTCAGCACATATGCTTCACTGACCTATGCAATGGTTTACAATAAAAAGTTCCCACCTCTATTACATATATGAAATAATATTTAGACGACTGTCTACAATATACGACAATACTTTGATTAGAGTGTTATATAATATTATAATATTATATTAATAAATTATAAATTAAAAATATTTTATAATATTATTAATATATATTATCTACGGTTACTTATTTTAGAGTTACACCAAAAATCAAAATCGATTTTTTTTTATTTTTTTTATTAAGACAATATTGCCTTGTCGCTTAAACCAATCCTCTCTATTCTCCGCTAATCTCTTCATTTCTATATAGCTCCCTAGCGATATTAACTTTTTCATATTTAAAAGATTTGTTTCTCTCGGCCGTCCTCTTCCTCTTTCCCCATTTATCTTCCCTTCCATAATATTTGTAATTAACGTGTTACGAAAAACTTGGCTTTTCTTATTTCCATCATTTCGATAATTTGTCTTGGTTCTTCTATCATATTTAATACTTTTATGTTTGATTTCCTTTCTCTCCAGCTAATCTTCATCATTTTTCTCCATGTCCACGTATCTAATGTTCCATTCTCCTTTTATCTAGAGTGCTTAAGGTCCATGTCTCACTACCATATAACGCTACCTCCAAACATTCATTTTAATAAAACGTTTTCTAATTTTTATTGATAAGTCTCTGCTTGTTAAAAGATTTTGTTTCTTAGTAAAAGCTTGCTTAGCCAAAGCTATTCTTCTCTTTATTTCTGTCTTGTATTTATTATCCTGCGTTATATATGGTTACTTAAGTAGCAAAATGATTTGACTTCTTCAATAGGTGTGCAGTGTAAATTAATGGTTCCCTGAATCTTTTTTCGATGTTTGTCTACTATTTGAATTTTTGTTTTTTTGGCATTTATTTTTGAACTTGTTCTAGTGCTATTGATGAATTTGTCAACATGTTACTCAAATCGCGTTCGCTTTCAGCTATTAAAGCTATGTCGTCTGAGAATCTTATGATGAGAATTCTGTTTCCATTTTTTTCACAACTTTCGTTTTTTCTTTAAATTTTTTGATGGCACTTTCAATAAAAATATTGAACAGCAAAGGTGACATCGAGCAATCTTGTCTCACTCATTTTCTTACCAATGCGTATTTTTCAACGTCTTTTATTTCGATTTTAGTTTTTTGTTGATTGTATACTTGGAAGATAATACGTCTATCCCTCCAGTCTATGCCTTTTTCTCAAAATTACTTTCAAGGAAAACAAAAATTAGGTTATACAAAACCTTTTTCAGACCTATTGTAATGTATGCATGTCTGGTATGGGCGTCAACAAAGATAGACGAGAAGAAGCTAATGATTTTTGAGAGGAAAATATTACGGAGAATCTTCAGTCTTAAAAAGAATAGTGAAGACAATGAATACGAAAGACGAACGAACGCAGAACTAAAAGAACTGTTAAATGAAACCGACATAGTAGGTGTTCTAAAAAGGCGAAACTTAGCATAGCAAGACATGTGAAGAGAATGAAAGGTAGAGTAATAAACGAGGTTACAATGTGGTGGCCAGATCGGAAAAGACCAATAGGACGACCAAGACAGCGTTGAAGTGACCATGTTAAAGAAGATCTGAAACTCCTAGGAATCAGAGATTTAGAAACAAGAGGATTTTATAGAGAGGCATGGCGAGGCATAGTGGAAACGGTGATGTGTCTAAATTGTTCGGAATAAGGAAAACAAAAAAATTGTACTGATTTCAGTAATCATGTAATATTTCTCCCCTTTTATCCCTGGATCCTAAACCGAATTTTCCTGATCCCCTATCATCGTACTCTTCACCGATTGTGGCATTAAAATCTCCCATAATTATTAATCCATTGTTTGTCCTAGTAAGTTTAGAGGTATCTTCAATTAGTTCGTAAATGCTTTCTATTTTTTCTTCTGTGCTATTTTATGTTGGAAAATAAACTTGTAGTATTATTAGACTGACATTCTGAGTTTTTATCTTTATCAACAATATTCTAACATTCACATGTAACGTGGTAACAATATTCTACGCCCATTTTTTTTCCATAACCGACGCTACGCCTCTCTGTAATTGAACTTGTTATGATTCTGAATTCATCACTATTTCCTTGCCATCTGCTTTCATATAGACCTAAAATTTCGATGTTCTTTTCGATCATTATATTTTTTACTTCTTCTAACTTCCCTAGTATTAGCAACGTTTTTACGTTTCGTGTTCCTATATTCATTATGTTTTGTTTATTTTTTTGCTTGACTGTTTTGTCCGTTTATGATGATATTCTCGCTTGTTGACGACCTGAGAAGCCTCATTATTTCTCTTGCTGATTCAGTATCCGGGTTCATGATTAGTAGCTTTTATATTATAATTATTAGAAAAGATCATGGTTGTATATTGGGAATGGTAAATCAGTGGTTTCCCCTTGCCTTCTGCATCGCAGTTGCACCTCTTATTCCTAAGAGGTGCTATTCAAGCATAGATAAGTCTATGCTTAATACAATGCCCATTTTGTGGTCCATTTGGTCGCCTTTTACGACTGGCATGGACTACCGTTGGTGTATTGTAATGTAGTGTAATGTAATATCCATTTCTCCTTAATTTGTATTTTGTTCTTCACGGCGCTTTTGAAAACTTCTAGGAAATTTTACTTTCAACCCACCAAAAGTACCAACTAGATTCACTTTCCTTTTAGAAAATATACTGTAAAAATAAATAACACACATCATTGTAAAATCAATACATTCTTCGCTCCACTCAGAATCTAAAATATTGTAAATATTCATATCATAATCATATCATATTATCATATCATTACAGAGGACATGAACGCTGTTGGTTTAATAGTTATTATTAGTAGTGAGTATTTAATTTAGTTCTTTGAATATAAAAACTATTTTAAACAGTTTATTAGTATGTCATTCAACGTTTATACATGTATGTGCACTGTGCACATATGTGTGCAGGGTATGAAAGTGCACCACCTGCAGCAGAGATGCTTTACGGCCTGTTGTTTTTTATAATAATATACTCCGTGCTAATAGACAAGTAACCCGTGTCCCGATCAAATCACGGTCGAATCTACCTATTTGACATGTCGACGTTGCACAAGCCCGACCGTCAACAGTCGGCCACGTTATATATATAAGGTATACTATTAGTATGTATAATGTTGTAAGGTGGGGGAAATGGTCTCTGCCGTCCGTCTACATGAGCGTAGCGGGTTACTTCTCTCGTGGCATGGAATATAGAAACAAATTTTTTAATTATTTTACTATTTATAAATCTTTTGGTATTAATCAATTTAAAAAATAAAAATGCCGTTTAAAATTTGTAGTTTTTATCAATTATCGTGCATCTGAATGTAAAGTAATCACTGTTTTATTTCAGTTTTAATAACTGTGGTATTTCCCATCGTACGTTTCAGTCAGGAAACATTGACTCTTATCACTGCAAGCCATCTTATACATTTTGAATTGAGTAAATCTGATACAGCAACACTCTCAACTACATTTTACTTGAATGCCTTAGAGGAGATTATAATATTTTGTAATCACTACTAGATTTTAACCAGGGGTATTTACTAGGTATAGTAATTCATAACTGGCTAGACAAGTGAACTGTAAATATTTGTCTAAAAGTTTCCCAGACATTTTTAAAATATTATCGCGTTTTGTCACAATTCCGGTGACAAGTAGTGTAGCTGACTACTAGCTGTAAAGGAACCTTTTCAAAATGAAGTTAAGTCAAAAATAAATTAAGGATTAACTCTGGCCATATATTTTGTTAAATAAAATTATTTTAAGGGAAACCATGCCAAGCATTTCCAATATTTTGTAGGTAAAGGAAAATATTTTTTATGATACTAAAAATAGTTGTAAATATAGTAAAAAGGGAATGCACCAACTGCAAGCAATGTCTGCGCACGCCTTTGAATGTTTATACTTAAGAGGAGGCTACACGGCCATCTGTTGTCTCCGTCTTACAAGTGCTTAATATTGCAAATTTACGCTCAACAGATCACGTTGGTTTAAAAATTAGAGTGAATCGAACTTATATGAAAATTGATGGCAAGAACATTAACAGTGTTCATATGTGGGTTTTTTTTACCATACTTCAGATTTAAGGTAATTTATGATCATTTTTAATTTATAACATATTGAACAATAGTAAAAAGCCCACATACAAACAGAGATAATGTTCTCACTATCAAATTCCATAATAGTTCGATTCACTCTTTTTTTTAACTAACGGAGTTAAATGTGATCTGCTTAGCATAACTTTGCTATGCTACGCACTTGTAAGACGGAGACAACATATATCTGTGTAGCGTCCTCGTATTCATCCTCTTTAAACTTAAAAGTACTACATACTTATTTTGTGTATTCATATGCATTCCCATTTCCTTGCAATGATCTGAAATCGAGACATTTTACAACAACATAAATGTTATAATTGAGAACAATATCAAGATGATGTAAATTTTACAAAGACACAGATGGACATTTGGCGTAAGTACACATTCATTATTTATACAACTATATTTGATAATTTTAAGGTTCATGCCACTGCAGTTGTCATTATCATCTATTTCATACCTATGTCTACTGGTTATAATCACTCATATAGGTAGATACTAGATATTATCTATATTCTATACCTACCTATCTGTGGTTTTCATCAGTAGTCTGTCAACCGTCAAATAATAAATAATAATGGTATAGTTTGTTTATTAAGTCCTTTATTTCGGATACTCAATTTAATAATAATATGTGAAACGCTCCCGTTCCATTTTACATGGCGCTGTAGTAAGGTTAGTAGCGATTTGGAATCTTAAAGTATCGTTAATAACAAGGTTCAATTATTGATATATTATCTACTGAGTATGTATAAGTACTGGCAACTTGCTTTCCACGTATCATAATTATTGTTTTAGACTTTAGAGGACTGAAAGAGATCCAGATGAAGTTGTTTAAAAATAAATGGTTTAACACAAATTTCAACAGTGAATAAAATTATAGTGAAAATAAATTAATAAAAAAACAGTTCCGGAGTGGACTATTTTTGAAAACGTGAAAATAAAAATAAAAATCATCAAATCCACACTACAATAAAATATTATAATATGTATTTATCATATTAGATAATGTCTCCTTATGAATTTATAACTCGAAATAATTTTCAAATTTTCGTCATTTTGACGTATTTTGTCAATATTTGAACTTAAGGACTTTAGATGCTTAAAAAAAAATTGTGGTTAAGGATTTTTAATTTTTTTCATCTGCCTTTGAAACCATATCCTGGTGGGAGCCTTCTATTAAATTTTCAAGCTTTTTTAACCAACAAATAAAATTTTATTGATATTTTTAGAAAAAAAACAAAAAAATAAATGGAAACTGAAAATGTCCGTAAAGAGCTCAAAATAAGTAAAAATACTTGGAAAATGTTATGTTGTATAGAAAATGCTAATATAAACATTCAGTCAAAATTTCTTGTACCTACGGTCAGTTGCACCAAAAACCAAAATCGTTTTTCTTGAAAACAGATTTTGCATAAAAATTCCCGTTTTTCCTTAATTTTTCTTTTGTTTTCACGGCGCTTTTGAAAACTATTAGGAAATTTTTACTTTTGAATACCTAAAGTACCAACTAGATTCACTTATCTATCAGAGAAGACATTGTTGAAGAAAATCCAAGCACTTTTACTGTCCTAAAACGTGATTACAGACACAAAAATTTAAAAAAAATTTTAAAAAACACACATCTTTTAATCAATTAATTCATCGTTCCACTCAGAAACTAAAAAAATCCTTAGACGTCAATTACTCTATATTTTATTCATATTTTATTACTTGTATTGCTTAATAGTTACAGATGGCTACACAGGCCCTAATTGTAAGTAATTTTAATCAATGTTCTATATGGATTAGGTACGAAGATTATTGTTTATAATATTGTATTTAAATACAATTATTGTTTAAATTGTTAAGCATTCATAGTTGATGAATATATTTTACTATATGACTGTGCATCAAAATAAAAAATTCAAGCTAATGCATTACATTATTTCAGCGTATGTGAAAAGATACGTAAATTATTGTCGTGAAAGTAAGAATTATTAAACTGATTATACCACCTACATATTATGACATGTATTATAATATTTCTGTGGAAATATGGCTGAAGCAGATATGTCCATTTTGTTAATTTTTTAATTATCATTTAATTAGTTTAGAATCATATATTTCAAGTGGTAGCAAAATACGATGTGTCTCTATTGTGTGTGTGGCGTCATCTATATGCAAAGACCAAAATTGATATGTCATTATTTGAAAATATATGTAGTGCCAAAACTAAGTTCAGAAAATGTACATATCAGTTTCTGCCATTATTCTTTAGATTTTAAAATTGATTAAAAATCAAAAGACCCACTAAATAAAGACTAATAATTGGGTATAATGTTCTATAATTATATTCAAGCCAAAACATTTAAATTAATTTAAGTCAAACTGTTTTTATTTTTTAGAAAGAACTCGTTTGTCGGCAATGGCTTATTGTGATACTTTAGGATAATATATGTAAAGAATATAATATAAGTCTTTAAATTGTATTTTACCGCCCTCTGCACGGTTAGTGTGGTTATAAGATGATTACTGTTAACAATAATAGTGATAAGCAAGTTATGATAAAATAAATTAATTGTTATAAGAAAAATGTAATAATATTTTAATGAAAGATGTAATAGTGTAATACCTATAGTCCTTACCTAGTTAGTAATTTATTAATTGACATTTTATTGAATAAACAAACATTTATTGTCGTTTCTTTATGTTTAGGTAAGTTCTGTATATTATAATCACACCAAAAACACTTCGTTATAACTCCTTGTAAAAAAAAAAAATTTGATATGATTAAATTTTTAAAAGACGTGATATATACCTAATATGGAAATGAAGTAAAATTACATTTTATAATATTACAATTACCTATGATGACAAATAAGATCAATTGTAATGTTAAATAGTTAAATACTTAGTCAACATATTGTTAATACATTATTAATTACTGTAAACACTGTAGAGATTACTTAATTGTATTTATTTAAGTATACTTCTGCGTCCTGCCAAATAGTTAAACATAATATGTTGACTAAGTATTTAACTATTTAACATTACAATTTCTTATTTGCCATCATAGGTATTTGTAATATTATAAAATGTCATTTTACTTAATTTCCTTATTATATCACGTCTTTTAAAGATTTAATCATAACAAATTTTTTTTTTTTAACTTAGCTTTTTTTTTTACAAGGAGTTATAACAAAGTGTTTTTGGTGTGATATCAGCTATTTTTTTTATGAAATAAGTCGCTATTTTATTTTACTGTATATCATAATAGTAATCCATAATAGCATATGCATCGTTGGCCTCCTGTTGTCATATCTTTTTGCCTATTTTAGTTTTTTTTTCTAAAACTAGAATATAAATATTATATCGTTACATCTAACCCATATTGTATTATTATGTTTAATAACATGGATATTTACGATATTTTCGTTCCCCGACCCACCGCTTA